TTTTAAACTTAATTGTTTATTTATAAGAAGTAGTAACAAATTAATCATTATATCGACATTTCAATGCCGAGGAGGTAGAAATTGGGCAAATTTTGCCATTTGCTATTGCTATAGTTCGCACTCGATGAAATTCCGACCAGAGCACAGCACGCAATTTTTCGTTGTTCTGCTATGGCTCTTAAAGGTGGAGAAACATCGATGCCAACATCGATGTTTTTGAAACATCGGCAACATCGATGTTTACTGGGGCAACATCGATGTTTTTCCATCTCTAATATCTAAGGCGCATAAAGGAAGATTGACACATTGTAAGTACATATATCATTTAATTTCATTATAAATAATTAACAGAATATTGTTATTTTAGTTATACTTGTTGGTGGTGTTGGCGTGAGTGGTGGGAGTAATACATGGACAGATTGTACATACATAGGATAGAAAGGATAGTATAGTACGGATAGAAGAGTAAGGGTAGTATAGTAGGGACAGTAAATTTCCATAAAGAAGTATTATTTAATTTGTACTTTGTACATATGTATATACGGAACAATTTTTTTTTTTTTTTCCGTCGTTTTTCTTTATTAAACTGTTTTATTTAGGTCACCCTAGGGTCAAAATTAGAAATTGAAATTTAAGTACCTTCCTGTTGTCAGATTGATCTGAAATTTGGTACACACCTTCAGTTCCGATGACAATACAATATAGTAATGTCAATAACATTGTAAATCCAAGATGGCGGCCGCAAAATGGCGGATAACGTAGGTTCTATCAATCCCATCAATAAGGGTATCAAATAAAAGGTCTCAACAAGTAGAATACAATGTACTATATAAAATTAAAATTCAAGATGGTGGCCTCTGCAAAATGGCGGATAACTTAGGTTTTATCAATCCCATCAACATGGGTATCATTGTCACTGCCAAACACATCAGATTAATTCAGATCAATTTGACAACAAACGGGGTAAGCTAAATCTTATATATAAAAATGAATCGCAAAATGTGTTGGTAACAACAACGCCTGGGCCGATTTTGATGAAATTTTTTGTGTGTATTCCAGGGGGTTTGAGGATGGTTAAGATTCACAATATGTTAAAATAATATTTATTATTTTATAAAGCAAAACGAGCTAAAGAAAGTGAAGTTGATAGAAACAAAACTGGAGGTTTACCAGCAGAACTGGAAGTATTTGTGGGGGCAAAAGTCATGCTACGGTCCAATTTTGACGTTTCGAAGGGATTAGTAAATGGCGCTATAGGCTACATCAACGAAATCGTTTGGCCTCAATTTCGTCGAACTCAGATGTATGCAACAGATGTACCTTCCGTCCGAATTGATTTCGAAAAAGACGGAGTACATCTTATACACCCGAAAGCCATACAGTTTCCAACTAAGTACAATTAGGGGACGGCTGAGAGAAGAATGTTGCCTTTAATACTATCATGGGCTTCTACAATACATAAAATGCAGGGCAGCACTGTGGATCACGCAGTCGTATACTTAGGTGCGAAACTGTTTGAAGAAGGTCAAGCTTTCGTGGCTCTTAGTAGAGTAAGATCTTTGCAGGGACTACGTATAGAGGAGTTGGACTGCAACAAACTAACGGGCAAGAAACCATGCAATAATGAAGCACTAAATGAATTAAACAGAATGCGAACTAAAAACTAATAAAAACTTAATCAAATTTGTTAAAAAAAAAACTTTTTAATTTAAGGGGTTACATGGGTTTCCTCGGGTAAAAAACGGCCTTTTTTCAAACATTTTTTTTGCATATAAAAAATGAAATATTTCAATGAAACTTTTTATTATTTAAAAGATACATATTTAATAAAGATTTTGTGAAATTTTCAAAAAAAAATATCAAAATGTCGGCCATTACGGCGCCATTTCCGGCAGTCCCTCGGAAAAAAGGTGCCTCCGCGTTGTCAGCAGAACTTCTTTCAGGATCATCCAAAGTGAAAATAAAAAAAATGTGTTTCAGTATAGACAATAAACTAGGTATTGGACGAAGGAAAAAAAAAAAATGAAAATTGGATTTTTGGCAGACGTTTTTACAAAAAAATGCAAATTTCGATGAAAATTTCTCGACATTTTTTTTTTTTTAAATAGTTGTAATTGAAAAAAAAAAAAAATCCTTCGTTCAATACCTTGTAAATGATATCTCGAATACTTGTGTAAAATTTCATTAAGATCGGTTGAGTAGTTTGCGAGAAATTTTGACAACCGACTTTGAAAACATAGTTTTGAGAAAAACGCGTTTAAAGTTTTAAGAGACAATAAAAGTGGTCTCAAGCGTCCACCTTCTCAAGGCTGTATCTCCGAGACTATTACTCGGATCAACTTGAAAATTTAGGACAATATTCTAGAAATGTTATAGAATTTAATAAGACAAAAAAAAAAAAAATCGATTTTTTGAAACCGTGAAACCCATGTAACCCCTTAAAAGGTTTTATGTTAAACATACATTGCAATGTTTAAGATAAATGTACTAATTATTGGACCTCTGGGGGCGTCGACCCTTTAAATGACTATTACTCGTGGGAACAAAATGGTAAAAAAAAAATATAAATAAAAATGCGAAATAAAAACTAAAAACTAGAAAATAAAAAGAGGTAAAAAAAATTTTTAAGTTAAACCGTTTTATGTAAAACATGTAATAAATGTACTAAAAGCCTAAAAATAATATAAAATAGATACAGCCGTGGGAATTATAAACATATGCTTAGACTAGACTAAAATAAAACCGTGGGGCAAGTCAATTGTGTACAATCGTTGATTAAAATGTTTGTTTGCCCCACGGTTTTATTTTAGTCTAGTCTAAGCATATGTTTATAATTCCCACGTCTGTATCTATTTTATATTATTTTTAGGCTTTTAGTACATTTATTACATGTTTTACATAAAACGGTTTAACTTAAAAATTTTTTTTACCTCTTTTTATTAAAAATGTTAAATTAAACGTTTTAAAAATTGATTTTTATTTTTAAGCATTACAAATTAAAAAAAGTCCAACTACACTAAAAAAAACTGCTAATTTTGTTTATTTAAAACATCGATGTTTTTCGCCAAATACATTCACGGACATCGATGTTTCTCCACCTCTATCGGCTCTGCTTCGGCTCTCGTCAAAGTGAGAGCGGTAGCAATATCAAAACGAAATACCGCAGTAAAATTAATATTTGTGCATCATATTTTGATGGTTTATTTTTTAACTTTTAAATATGCCATGTTTTTATCAATATTTTTTTTAAATGGGTAGTTGGCCTTGAAATTTGATAAACTGGATTTTTATTAAATTATACAATGCTTGGTGTTTTACCGGCTCAAGGTCTGGGACATCAAAAAACACAATTTATGTTTTTTTTTTTTTAAAACCAATATATTTCGGTTGCTCCTCGGCAACCGTCTTCAGGGCAAATTTTGACACGTCTGCGCCAAGTGACGTTGAGTTGAAAACTGAGTTTGAGACCAGACCTTGAGCCGGCAAAACACCAAGTATTCGATTGGAAAGGTCGCTAACACCCACAAAAAATTATAAAATGTTTAATACATGGGAAATTTAATTGAAAAAATTCTTCAGCGAAAGTTGGTATTTGTGCAAAATTGAAAAAGCGCAAAATATTAAGGAACTAATAATATCAAAATGTCCTAAAATTATTATTTTAGTATGGTATAGAACCTCCGTGTTCTTGTACGATCAATTCCAAACGTTGGGGCATGTCGATGGCTTCCAGTGGCGTAGATAGCTTTTTGATATGGGGGGGATATGACTCAGAATAATATCCTGTTTTTTGGAATAATCCTCGTTGCACAGTCGTGTACAGAAATTGGTCACATTTTTCACATTGATAAGTTGCATTATAAAAAAATTCTCTTATTATCGAAGAACAAATTCAAGCTTTCGAGATTTTTTTGCTAATTCATCAATGACTTCGTCTGCTGTGATTCCAAAGTCACGATGCATTGCCAGAGCTGCCAAACCATTCAAGCGGTCATATAATAGATAAATCAGACAAAAATTCGAGTTATTATTGATGCATATTCGATAGTATCCAAACATTTAGATGGAACATGATGAACTCACATCTTTTATCGTGGTCCTTTGAATTGTTTTTATCCGTTTCAAACTTGAGAATGTTCGTTCCGCAGTAGACGTAGATACTGGCAATGTAGCTAATATTCTTAGCAACATATTGATATTTGGGAAATTCTCTTCTGGATAATCATCCAGCGCTTTCAACGAATTGTTAGGCCTTTACGGATCAAATACTTCTTCCACATTTTCAACTCGATGAGAACAGCAGTTGGCCCAGAATCAAGAAATTTTTGATAAAACTCGACAGTTTCTATAAATTTCTCAGCTGCTTTGTCGACTTCAGATAAATCATGCTTGAAGAGCGCCGAAAACCCTTCTAATATTTTTTCGTGATCGATAAATCTCTCGCCAAGGTCCATGATGTAGAAGTCCAAAAATGGATTGAACACCGTGACACGGAAGCATTCTTCTGCACTCTGAACTTCAGGATTCGCTCGATTTTTTTGTCTGCTCACTTTTCGTTTGTGTTTGATTTCAATGTCCAAAGTTTCAGCAATTTTCTTTGCAGCTTCGAAAATTCCAGGAAACGTATCTGCTTCTGCTCGAATCCTTTTCAGTTCATAGCGTAAATGCTTGGCGAGATCCATAGCTTGGACCAAGTCTAAATCAACCTTTTGAAATTCTCGACTCAGAGGCAAACAAAGTTAGTAAATCACGTTGTATCATATAATTCTCAGACCCAAGGGGGGTTTTTGTCCCATCGTATTGCGAAGATAATTTTTTATTATCTTCAATTTCGAAAATGATCTTTCTGCTTTTGCGACTGTGACTGGGATGGTGAGAAACAGACAACATGCTCTAACAATTTCAGAAAAACTACTACTTTCTAAATTTCCCAGGCCCCAGCCTTGGGGGCCCCCAAAGCTCGGGGGCCTGTGTTCCTGAAACACATGGAACACCGGTAGTTACGCCATTGACTCAAACTGTCTTCCACGCTTGTAGACTTTTGCTGACAGGATGTCCCAAAGGTTCTTAATTGGGTTAAAGTCTGGACTTATTGCTGGCCACTGCAATAGTGGTATACTTTTTGATTCCAGGAACGACAACGTATACCTCGCAGCGTGTATAGGAACGTTATCCTGTTGAAATACCCAGTCCTCATTCAACTCTTCTGCAAATGGTGAACTTTCACTTTCTAGAAAATCCGTATACATTTGCGCATTTATCCGTCCTGGTACGAAGCATATAGGGGACTTTCCTTAAGCCACCACCGATGTTTCGTTTATGGCAAGTCTGCCTTGGATGCCAAGGATCCCTTCTTTCAATACTTTCGGTTACCGTCTGGGCCGTCCAAATTAAACTTTTTCTTATCGCTAAAGATCACTTTTTCAAATTCAATCTTCCAAAACTTATAATTTTCATTAAAGGCAAGTCTGGCCTTCTTATGTTTTGGTATGCTTTGGTTTGTGCACCTTTGCATTATACTGCAAGTTCAAATCTTTTTGCAAATCTGTTGCACTTTTTGTCTTTTTATAGCTTTTTGTATATACAGTCGACTCTCGTTAATTCGAAACTCGAGGGACTCTTGAAATATTTCGAATTATCGAGTGTTTGAAATATCGAATGGTTCGAAATTTGCGACAGAAAATAAATAAAACTTAGAATTATTAATTGTTTCTTAATTTTTTATTTATTAATATAAAAATGATAAGAATTAAGAGGTACATTCGTGGAAGTACATACATGTATTCGTAATGTGAATCAATTAATCTTTCGAAAGAACTTTGTTATACTGGTTTGCTTTAAAGCACAATTCTGTTGCTCACACTGCTCAATAACTTTTTTTAAGAGAAAAAGTGCCTGAAATGCTTTTTCATCACTTTCGTTTTGTAGACATAAGCTTTATAAGGTATCAAATGAGGATCTTGCTTCCTTAACTGACACCTCTGCCAAAGGTTCTTTATACTTTCTAGGCCTCATAGCTAACACTAACTTTTAATATGCATACCAACGAAAGAGTAACAGCAACTGAATAAGTACACAAAACAATTCGTAAGAAGTGTGTGCGTCAAATGGTCAAACTACATAATCAAAACAAAAACAAAGGCAAGTTTGAACTTGTCCCAAAATTTCCGCCTTTTTTCTCTGTAACTTTGAATTGTCGAGTGTTAAACGCTGATGACTTCGAATTAACGCGTGGTTTTGTTAAATATCAATGATTTTTTCGTTCGAATTACCAAGTGTATGAAAATGTATTGATTTAGTTCGAAATATAAAGAGATTTCGTAGGGACCTCGTTATAACTTTGAATTATAGAGAGGTTCGAATTATCGCAGGTTTGAATTAACGAGAGTCGACTGTAGAAATAAACAATTTCTTAAAATAAATCACTTTTTGTTGAAGGCCAGTTGACGTGTCGAGCTCAAAAGCTAAATGCAGAACTTTGCACAAATATTAACTTTCTGTTAAACGCATGACTTTGTCTTCTTTAAAATCCTAAAAGGACCATAGATTAAAAGCAGATAAAAAATAAATGCGTAGAAACACGTGTCAAAGCATACGAGAAAAAATCTGTATACTCGAAAGATTAATGTAGTTATTTGAATAACCGTTATATCAAAAATAAGTTTTGCACAAATATAAATTTTACTGACTGTACTACGGGAGCAGTGCAGTTTTTTTAACGCTGCTTGATTCCAAATATGCAGAATTTACTTTCGTCGAAAAATATAACCTTATTCCGAAAGTCTTTGTGTTTGGAAATGTGCTAAGGGGCCGTCCATAAACCTCGTGACGCTAATTTTTGGATTTTTTGACATGTCCGCAAATTATCCTTTTCATTGAAGTGCTCTTTGGTAAAACACATTTTTTGGTCTCACGTTAACACTAGCAAAGCGGTTCCCATCTCGCGAATACGCAATGTATAGCTGCCCTTGTTAAAAACAATGATTTTCTAAATTTATCCCGCAAACACTAAGCGATTAGCCCTGCGACTTGTTAATTGTCATTGCGAACGCATGGCGAACTGGAATTTGGCATCGTTTGAAGTCAAACTGAAGATCAGTCGGAATCATTGGTATTCAAGAAATACAAACCTTTTCACCTGCCTTCTTTCTGTTAATAATGGTTGCCCCAATCAAATTCGGCATAAGTCTTTTTTACCGAAAGCCCTGTCTTGTTATTTTTTGGAAATTATCTGTAACAATTAGACCATTTGTTCTCTTACGTTGACATTACTTGCCAATTTGATTTAATCGACGGTCACAGACCAGTTGCGATAATAAGTACGTCGCCCAATATTTTTTGCTCCTCTGCGAAGACGCGGATTTCCCGTCACACGAGAACGCTGTCGAAATGTTACATAAAACGAAGCCATCACCAAAACCACAAAAATTTGTCCGAGTGATTAGGTAGTAACTCACTTTATATGCGATTTTTGGTATGTCGAACGGGATAAAAAGTATCCTATGCCCTTTTCCTGGCTCTAAGCTACTTCCCTAACAATTTTCAGCCAAATCTGTTCTGTCGTTTTAGAGTTATAAGTGGTGGTTATGATAAAATTTTATTCGAAATTCAATAGTGGTTAGAATGAATTTCCATCTGGTAAAAATCAAGTCAATCTGATCAAAAAGTAATTGCCTTTTTTTTTAAGTATTACATATTGATGATTTATTTTCTTATTTAATATTTTGTATGCAAGCCTTTATTTTCTTGAATAGCTAGTAATCGTCGTGGCATTGATTCTACTAATTTTTGCCACCTCTGTTCGGGTTTATTCGACCATTCCTTTAGTAATACCTCTTTGAGCTCTTTTTTCGAGGAAATCCTGTGTTCTTGGACCTTAAGCTTGAGATGGGCCCATAAATTTTCTATGGGATTAATGTCTGGGCTCTGTGGTGGCGTATGAATTTGTTTTGTGTTATACAACAGCCACGTTTTGACTTTCCAAGCCGTGTGTTTAGGGTCATTGTCCTGTTGAAAAATGAACTTGTCGCGTTCTAGGCCCATTTTGGTAGCACTTGAGTGTAAATTTTCTTTTAATATATTTAAATACATGTCTGCATTCATTATTCCGTCTGTAAAAGCTAAATTTCCCACTCCTCGAGAGGACATGCAGCCCCAAACAAGAACGGAGCCTCCGCCGTGTTTAACTGTTGCTTTAACATTTTTCAATTTAAGGGCTTCTCCGGGCTTGCGCCAAACTTTACCTTCTCCATCAGATCCAAAAACACAGAATTTGCTTTCATCACTAAAGATAACCTGCTGCCAATAGTCAAAATTTTGGTCCAAACACGTTTCAGCAAATAAAAGTCGTTTCGATATGTTGATAGATGAAAGTAAAGGTTTCTTTCTCGGACATCTACCATGCAAATCATGGCTTCTAAGGACTCTTCTGACAGTTTCGGTGGATACGTTTGTTCCTAGGGTTGTAGTAATGGCGGTGTTAATTTTTGGTGCCGATAAATGTGGGTTTTTTTTCCTGTTTTCTCGAAGAATTTTCCTCTCCTCTCTATCAGTCAGGTTTTATTTTAGTCTAGTCTAAGCATGTTTATAATTCCCACGTCTGTATCTATTTTATATTATTTTTAGGCTTTTAGTACATTTAGTACATGTTTTACATAAAACGGTTTAACTTAAAAATTTTTTTTACCTTTTTTTTATTTTCTAGTTTTTAGTTTTTATTTCGCATTTTTATTTATATTTTTTTTTACCATTTTGTTCCCACGAGTAATAGTCATTTAAACGGTTGACGCCCCCAGCGGTCCAATAATTTGTACATTTATCTTAAACATTGCAATGTATGTTTAACATAAAACCTTTTAAATTAAAAAGTTTTTTTTTAACAAATTTTATTAAGTTTTTATTAGTTTTTAATTCGCATTCTGTTTAATTCATTTAGTGCTTCATTATTGCATGGTTTCTTGCCCGTTAGTTTGTTGCAGTCCAACTTCTCTATACGTAGTCCCTGCAAAGATCTTACTCTACTAAGAGCCACGTAAGCTTGACCTTCTTCAAACAGTTTCGCACCTATGTAAGTATACGACTGCGTGATCCACAGTGCTGTCCTGCATTTTATGTACTTATTGTAGAGGCCCATGATAGTATTAAAGGCAACATTCTTCTCTCAGCCGTCCCGTAATTGTACTTAGCTGGAAACTGTATGGCTTTCGGGTGTATAAGATGTACTCCGTCTTTTTCGAAATCAATTCGGACGGAAGGTACATCTGTTGCTTACATCTGAGTTCGACGAAATTGAGGCCAAACGAGTTCGTCGATGTAGCCTATAGCGCCATTTACTAATCCCTTCGAAACGTCAAAATTGGACCGTAGCATGACTTTTGCCCAAACAAATATTTCCAGTTCTGCTGGTAAACCTCCAGTTTTGTTTCTATCAACTTCACTTTCTTTAGCTCGTTTTGCTTTATAAAAAAAATAAATATTATTTTAACATATTGTGAATCTAAACCATCCTCAAACCCCCTGGAAAACACACAAAAAATTTCATCAAAATCGGCCCAGGCGTTGTTGAGTTATGCGCTTACCAACACATTTTGCGAGTAATTTTTATATATAAGATATAGCTTACCCCGTTTGTTGTCAGACTGATCTGAATTAATCTGATGTGTTTGACAGTGACAATGATACCCATGTTGATGGGATTGATAAAACCTAAGTTATCCGCCATTTTGTAGAGGCCGCCATCTTGAATTTTAATTATATATAGTACAATGTATTTTACTTGTTGAGACCTTTCATTTGATACCCATATTGATGGGATTGATAGAACCTACGTTATCCGCCATTTTGCGGCCGACATCTTGGATTTACAATGTTATTGACATTACTATATTGTATTGTCATCGGAACTGAAGGTGTGTACCAAATTTCAGATCAATCTGACAACAGGAAGGTACTTAAATTTCAATTTCTAATTTTGACCCTAGTGTGACCTAAATAAAACAGTTTAAAAATATTGCTGCTCGGCTGAAGTTTGCAAAGGAACACATACTTTTACCGATTTCGTTCTGCGATGACGCTAGTTAAAATTAAACATTTTTGGTTCAGATGGACAACAATTTATGTGGCGTCGGCAAAATACAGGGTTGGCAAATAAGCACCTGAAACCTGCGGTCAAACATGGCGGGGGTCAAGTCAAGGTTTGGGCAAGGT